TCTTATTGAGGAATTTATTTACGTTTTAAGAGATTTTCCTTTCAAGAACTATTGGGTACATTAAAAAAAAAATTTCTCCTTGTTTTAAAAACACTGTCCTTGGAGAAATTTACACTTATCAATTTATAAAAATCTTACTTACAACTTCACATTAAAAGGACACATCTTCTAAGTCCTTTAAATTCTTGCAATAGTAAAAATAAATTAATTTTAAAAACTTCTCTAGTTTCCTTTATCCACTAATTAAGAATGCTCACAAGATGTGTGGTCCTGAACTAGGGGTGGCAAAGAGGAGAGTTCCAAGGTATTGTCAAAGCCAAGGACCTTGAAAAGTTTACAATCTAGTTGTACAGTGTGTTCTATTAAAAACAAACAAACCTTTCAACAATTTACTAACCATTTTGAACAAAAACAGGTGGTTTTAAGTTGAAACCTTTAAATGGACAAGGAAAGGAATACTGTAGGAAAAAAGACCAAAAAATAGATTCATAGAAATTAAAGAAGGAAAAGGACTAAGTATTCCAAGTGACCAAAGGACTAAGTATTCTAAGTAACATATCCTCAAGAATGTATTTGATTTATCAGATAAATCTAGCTTGAAAAGCTATAGCGAATTCCACAAACTAAGTCAATAGAATAAAACAAACATGACACAACTTCTATAAAAATGTTACCTTAAAAAATGTTACTGCAAACTCTTAAGAAAGCAGTTAAATTTAATTAGCTAAAGACAAATACATGGCTAGCATCCTACACACTTTCATTATCATGTCCATGGCAGACATCACCAACCAATCACACCACACTTCCCTCCTTTCCCCCCAACATAATCTAAGAACACAATCTTCCAGTAGAAGTCAGGGTAGGCATTATTACCAAACCTATTTGTTGTCCTTGATAGCTATTTTTCAAATATTGAAGTTGCCGGGTACAGCGGTTCACGCCTGTAATCCTAGCACTTTGGGAGGCTGAGGCAGGCAAGATCACCTGAGGTCAGGAGTTCAAAACCAGCCTGGCCAACATTGGGAAATCCTGTCTCTACAAGAATACAAAAATTAGCCAGGCATGGTGGCCGGCACCTGTAATCATAGCTACTTGGGAGGCTGAGCAAGGAGAAATGCTTGAACACCAGAGGTGGACGCTGCAATGAGCTGAGATTACACCAGTACAGTCCAGCCTGGACAACAGTGTGAAACTCTGTTTCGAGAGGCAGTGTCTCACACCTGTAATTCCAGCACTTTGGGAGGCCAAGGCAGGCGGATCATGGGGTCAGGAGTTCGAGACCAGCCTGGCCAACATGGTAAAAACCCGTCTCTACTAAAAATACAAAATTAGCCAGGCACGGTGGCACACGCCTATAATTCCAGCTACTCAGGAGGCTGAGGCAGGAGAATCAGTGGAACCTGGGAGGCAAAGGTTGCAGCGAGCCAAGATCACACCACTGCACTCCAGCCTGGGTGACAGAGCGAGATCCCGTCTCAGAAAAAAAAAAAAGTATAATTTTCTGTTAAAGAAAACAAATCATTATGGTCAAGAGAACCTTAATTAGGAACAGATTTTTTTTTTTTAATGTAATCCCCTTTTTAAAGAGTTCTAGAAAATTATATATTTTGAGAGCTTATTTTTGACCCATTTGAATTAAAAAACCAGAGACAGTCGCTTTTTCTTTTTCTTTTTTTTTTGAGTCAGAGTCTCGCTCTGTTGCCCAGGCTCGAGTGCACTGGCAGGATCTCCTCTCACTGCAAGCTCCGCCTCCCGGTTCCCGCAATTCTCCTGCCTCAGTCTCCCCAGCAGCTGGGACTACAGGCGCCCGCCACCACACCCGGCTAATTTTTTTTTTGTATTTTTAGTACAGACGGGATTTCACCGTGTTAGCTAGGATGGTCTCCATCTCCTGAACTCGTGATCCGCCTGCCTCGGGCCTCCCAAAGTTCTAGGATTACAAGCGTGAGCCACCGCTTCCGGCCTGACAGTCGCTTTTTCTGAGTATCCAAAAAGTTAAAACCAGACAGGCCCACTCATTATAGGACTTTTAAAGAATATATAGTTTTAAAAATATATCTGTAAATCTAATAAAAGAAAGAAGCACTAACTTGGTTCTTGCAGTTTAAGAGAAATACAGGTCAATATTAACCAAACACTTCTGAGAATATATGTGGTCACTTAAGATTTGTCACTTCCTTCAAAAGAATTTAACGTAGAACAGACTCCCGAAGTGAGGTGATAAAAAAGGAAAATAAAAACAGATACCTGGAACTCTAGGATCATGTTATAGAGTAAACCAACAGGTAGGACTGAAAAACTGGATTCAGGAAGTTGTAAGAGAGTACTATTGTATAAGCGAGAAACAAACATTTCTTACATACTCAAGTCTAATAAAGAAAAAGATCTCATATTCTACTAAAAAAACAGGACGCTCTAGCTCCCTAGTCTAACAGGGTTCAAGTATTATATATACATAGGCAGATAACAACACAATCTCAGGAATATAAACACCATAAAAAGGGGCATTTCAGGCCGGGCACAGTGGCTTACGCCTGTAATCCCAGCACTTTGGGAGACCAAGGCAGGCGGATCACGAGCAGGAGATAAAGACCATTCTGGCCAAGATGGTGAAACCCCATCTCTACTGAAAAAAAAAAGGAGCCGGGCTAACGTGTGGTGCGCACCTGTAGTCCCAGCTACTGAGGAGTCTGAGGCAGGAGAATCGCTTGAACCCGGGAGGAGGCGGAGGCTGCAGTGAGCCGAGATCGTGCCACTGCACTCCAGCCTGGGAGACAGAGCGAAACTCTCCAAAAAAAAAAAAAAAAAAAAAAGGTGGGGGGTGGTGCATTTCTCCACCAACCTCAATTGCATTAATAGTAAAAATAGTAACTTGCTTTGAGAAACTACGTGTAGTACCCATTAGGGAAAACTAAGTATATTTTAAAAGACTTTTTTTAGTGACGTTCCTCCAGCAGAAGCCAGTGAGCAGGCATGAATTACACATTCCTTACACATTCTAGAGCCCCATATGTATATCCATTCAGACCCTTTTTTCCATTATTTTTTGTTACTTTAAGGATTAGTTTGAAAAAGCTTTTGTACTTCTACAGTAAGTACAAAAATACAACGAACATTTCTGCCCAGAGCCTTTATTTCTCCCTAAAACAGGAGTGAAACCTGAGCCATCTGTAAAGATCTGAGGTAGTCCAAAAAAGAAGAAACAAAACAAAACACTTCTAAAAAATCTTTTAAAAATAAATTTGCATCCAATAGTCAGTAGGTGCTTTTCCACTTGGACAGGTCACCTGTTTAAAAATGAATTTAAAATTTGCGTCGGTTGCCACACTGCATAAAGAAGAATCAAAACAGAAGATCAACTTCGCTAGGTAAGACAAACTATTTTAAATAAAGGTGACACGGACAAAGAAGAGTTGATATCTGGGCAGTTATTGCTGGGAGAGCTTTAGGGGTAGAAAAATGCTCATGTAGCCTATGCTTACAGAACACTTTTCTGAGTGGTTTTAATTGCGCATTACCAGTACTGAGTAGTACACAGAGCGCATTTGATAAATGGGGGAGGAAATAAAGACTAAGGTCCTTCAGAGAGTCAATTAAGCAGCCACCGAGAGTGATGAAGGGGAAGGTAGATCAGCAACCCCTCTTGGTTTCCACTTGACCAGAAAAGCAACCGTCCTACCTGCGCACACCCGAGACCGAGGCTCCAGCCTTTGGTTTGGCCAGTAAACCAAAAGCGACCAGTAGAGCCCAGACTAGAGGCTCACTCAACTCACCTCCTGGATGCGCTTCCTGGCCCGCTGAAGCACTTCTTCGTAGCCCTTCTGCCGCAGTTCGCTGAGGCTTTCGTAATACTCCTCGGGATCGTCGGTCTCGGTGAAGAGCACCTGGGAGAGGATCTTCCAGCCGCAGGTGTCCAGGCCGTGGCCCAGGTAGACCTGGAGCTGGTAACACAGACTGTCGATTTCCTGCTCCGTCATCTCGGGGGCGCCCCCAAACAGCACAGTCCACATGCCCGAAGGTTCCTCCGGGAACACCGGCAGGCACGACTCCAACTGCGAGTTCACCGAGCACAGCTGCTGGTGCACGGCGCGCAGGTCCTGGAAAGAGAAGAGTCCGGCCCAGCTGCACTCTTCGGCCGGAGACTCCAGCTCGGCGGCTGGCAGCGGCTGCTCCGCGTCCGAGAGCGCCAGAGGCGCCTCGTCCTCCTTCACCATTTCCAGCACCTCGATCTCCTCGGAGACCGTCCCAGAGGCGCTCACTATACGTACAGAGGACACCGGGACCTCTTTCGGCGCCGGTCTGGCTGCTGCAGCAGCAGCGGCCCCCGCCGCATCGTTGGCTTCAGATGCTCTCTGAACCGGGATGGGTTTGGCCCGCACTGGGCTCCTAAGACGACTCTCCGCCCCTTTGCTGCCAGGACTTCGCAGCCGCGGGTCCCCCAGAAGGCTGCCAGTGCTCCGAGGAGAACCGCCCTCCGCCCAGGCCGAGCTCCGCCGGGGCCCGGGGCTCCTAATCAGAGTTGCAGAGGCAGTGGCCTCGGGCCGGCCCCTGCCCGCCGGGCTGCCAGGCCCGCGGCTTCCGTCGGACGCAGCTCCGCCGGCCTCGGCGCCCCCTCGCGCCCCCGCCTGCTCCCGGGAGCCGCTCCTCTGCCTCTGGGCCGTCCGGTTGTGGCAGGTTATGGCAAACTTGCCCTCAATCTCGTTCCAGGCTACAATAAAGACGAATTTGTGCTTCTCGCGCTCGTCGAACACATGGGGCCGCACAGCCACCCAGTCTGACTCGAGCGTCTCCTCCAGCGAAAACGACATGGTGGCTCCGACTTAACGCGGGGAAGGGCCGCCGGCCCGGCCCGCTCGAGGACTCCCCGCTGGCTGCGCCGCGCCCCCCGCTCACCCTCGCCGGGCGCCTTCAGCCATCTTAGTGCGCCGGCCGGCTCTCCTCGCTCGTTCGCCCGTCGCTCCGCGCCACGACCACCGAGGTCCTTTGTAGCGCGGCTCGCGGGAAGGACAATACGCGTCCCGGGAGCAGGTAGTTCACATGGTCACGTGCGGCCGGATCTGTTTACAAGCCCCGCGCTGCTGCAGCGTCTCGCGGCCGCCCGCCGCCCCCGGCGCGAGGCCGTGGAGCTGCGTCTGCGGCGCTCCGGAGGTGAGGCGCGGGTCCCGCGGGGTCAGGCGGGCGCTGTGTGCGCCCCGGTCGCTCGCCCAGGTTAAGCTCCCCGCCCCCGCTCCTGCTGCTGCCGCAGAAAGCCGGCAGCGGGTCAGACTGATGAACCTTTCTCCTAAACTCTGCGCCTCAGCATCGCCACAATGTTGCCATTCGACTGCTGACGTCGGCGGCTCCACGAGGGACGTAAACACGGGCACGTGCCGCACGCTGGTGACGCGGCGGCGGCGGCGCGCGCACCCCGCCAGCGCGCGCCGGCACCTCCCCTTGGCGTCCCCTGAGCCAGCCCGCGAGCGGCCGCGCTCCCGACTCTCCTTCCTTCCGCGCAGCCTCCTGTTCGCCCGGGCTGGAGCTCGCTGTCGGCTGGTTGCCGGCTCCGAGGGCGTTGAGAGTGGCAGGTGTGCCCTGCTGCATAAGTTGCTTCCGAACCCGGGAAAAGAGACTGAGGTGAAGGAACTGAGACGTTTCGCACTCCAGGTATTGAGCCCTTCGAATGTACGTTTGTCTCCATTCTCCCGCAGGAAGCCCGACGGGCAGTCGCTCCTGTGTTCAGAAGTACCGTGTCGCCGCGGGGAACGGTGTGCTGAACTCTGTGGGGCTCGCCCCCAGCCTGTTAAGTTCTCTCGTAATGCCCTTGAGACCAAAACAAAAAAACAAAACAAAAAAAATTCCAGATGATTTTCTGGAAAGACAAAGTTTAAGATATGAAAGGAAGGTGTCTGAGGACAACCCAGTAACAGTCCAAAACAAAATGAAAAATGAAAATGCCATGTCCTAAGAGCAAGAATGTTTACATTTCAGTTCATTGGTGTTTTATTGCTTCAGGTTTCATCATTATGTACTTTTCTGTGAACCTCGTTTTGAGGTCACTGGGCTTTAGCCCTTTTGAAGTTGTATTCAATTATGGGAGTTCCCAGAATGCATATACAAAAAAAGTCTCATCAATCTCTGCTATTCTTACTAAACTATGATGAAACACATTCTTAAAATTAGTAGACTTTATAATCCAGTTTATATTATTGGCTTTCTTTTTACGATTAGTATACAAGTCACAGATATTGTGCACTGTAGTAAAGCACAACGGGAATTAGTTGTTCTTTTACATTTATTCACATTTCTAAACACAAAACCGTTCGAATTAGTCTTGTATTGTTAGGTTCAGTAATAAACAGCTGTTTATTCAGATGACAGAACAGTACTGAACTAAGCTTCAAACTTAGCTCAGTATTATCTATCTTAAAACTCTAAGCTTCAACACTTGATTCAGTATTGTCCTGATATTTGAATAAACAACCCCCCCAAACAATTTTTGAGACAGAGTCTCACTCTGTGGCTCAGGCTGGAGCACAGTGGCACGATGTCAGCTCACTGCACCTCCGCCTCCCAGGTTCAACTGATTCTCCGGCCTCAGCCTCCCAAGTAGCTGGGATTACAGGCACACACCACCAAGCCCTACTAATTTTTGTATTTTTATTAGAGCTGGTGTTTCTTCATGTTGGCCAAGCTGGTCTCAAACTCCTGACCTCAGGTGATCCTCCTGCCTCGGCCTCCCAAATTGCTGGGATTACAGGCGTGAGCCACTGAGCCCGTTAGGTTTATAACATTTTGTACAGTTTGTTATGTGAAACCACAGATTTTCAAAGTTTACAACTGTGAATTTGTGTCAAATCTCAAATGCAAGTCAGAGACACATTTTGAAAGGCAAAAAGAAGAGAAAACCCATTTCAAATCTGAATTAGGGGGGGCTGGGAATGGTGACTAACGTCTGTAATCCCAGCACTTTGGGAGGCCGAGGTGGGTGGATAGCTAAAGGTCAGCCATTCGAGACCAGCCTGGCCAACATGGTGAAACCCCATCTCTGCTAAAAATACAAAAAATTAACCAGGCGTGGTGGCAGGCACAGGTAATCCCAGCTACTCGGGAGGCTGAGGCAGGAGAATCACTTGAACCCGGGAGTCAGTGGTGGCAGTGAACCGAGATTGCACCACTTCACTCTAGCCTGGGCGACAGAGCGAGACTTCATCTCAAAAATAAATATATAAATAAATGTAAATAAACAATGTTATAAGAAATATTTTATATACATGTATATTAAAATTATAATATTTTGTTAAGTGGTATTAAGAGTAAAACTACATGAAATTATATTGATGGGTATAAAATTTTATCTTATCAGAATACTGCTAGAGAAAATTGGTTCACAGTTACAGGAGTGATAAGTATTTCCTCTCAATACACTGGCCACTGTGTTTTGTTGAATGAGATGTTTCAGTGTTTCTTGTTTGTGCTATCTTAGTAATTGTTATCCTAGAAATGAAAAGAAACAAACCAAAATTCCCGTGATAGGTGACTATAGTACTCTACAATTCTTTATTTAGGTCTGTATCTGATTGCCAAGCAAGATCTCTCAGTGTGTAAGTTACTCCCTGGGAATAAGCAAAGCTACAGAAAAACCCCACATACACCATACCAGCCTTCAAACGGCTTAAAACTATTTTCTGTTTGAAGTTTTTAGAACTATTGTGCATCGTTAGGTAATTCAGGAAACGCTTTAACTCTTTAGTACTTTTCATAAAAACTATAATAGTTTATTTACATAGTGATTTTCAAATTATATAGCATTTTCTTACCTCATAATAGCCATGAAATGTAACTATGAAAGGAATAAGCATCTTTAATTTATATAGGAGAAAACAGCAGTCCAGATTAGTTAGGTCACATATCCCAGGGTTGGGAGTAGGGAGCAACTTCAGTTCCAGGGTCCATTTGCGAATCCACTGGTGTCTCAGTTAGATTCTCCCAGAAGCAGACACTGAGAAGTTAGAAATGCAAAAAATGTATGGGGTGCTGGGCGCGGTGGCTCATGCCTGCAATCCCAGCAGTTTGGGAGGCTAAGGTGGGTGGTCACATGAGGTCAGGAGTTTGAGACCAGCCTGGCCAATATGGTGAAACCCTGTCTCTACTAAAAATACAAAAATTAACCAGGCATAGTGGTGCACACCCGTAATCCCAACTACTTGGGAGGCTGAGGCACAAGAATCACTTGAACCCGGGAGGTGGAGGTTGCAGTGAGCCGAGATCGTGCCACTGCACTCCAGCCTAGGCATCAGAGCGAGACTCTGTCTCAAAAAGAAAAAAAAAAAAAGTATGGAGGCAACACCTGTGAAAGAGAAGGGGCAGAGGCAGAATCGGGCAGACTAATCCAACAGGGATTAATTAAGTTCCTCATGGCTGGGCACAGTGGCTCATACCTGTAATCCCAGCACTTTGGGAGGCCAAGGCGAGTGGATCACCTGAGGTCAGGAGTTCGAGACCAGCCTGACCAACATGGATAAAACCCATCTCTACTAAAAATACAAATTTAGCCAGGCGTAATCCCAGCTACTTGAGAGGCTGAGGCAGGAGAATCGCTTGAACCCAGGAGGAGGAGGTTGCAGTGAGCCAAGATCACACCATTGCACTCCAGCCTGGGCAATAAGAACAAAACTCTGTCTCAAAAAAAAAGAAGTTCCTCACTGGGTGGATATAGCCAGGCCTTGCTCAGTCATTGACTGGGGACCACCCTGAGAAAAGTACAGGATAAAAACCTGAAGCTGACGCTGAAGACACTAACAGGTGGGGACTGTCCACTTACCACACTCCTTGCAGCTCGGGGGTGGCTCCTTTCTAGAAGGGGGATCTAATTGACACGTCTCCACAACTGCCACAGTTTACCTTGTGTGCCTCACGGATCCACTTCATAAAAACACGTGGGAAGCATCTCCTCTAGGTCTTTGGTAGGCCTCTCTTCCTGAGGGAAAACAAAAGAGGGAGGTTATTGGGGCAAACTACAGCCTCCATAGCCATAGTTGATCTCACAGCCACAACTGGTACTCCTTTTTCTCTTTTCTTCTTAATTTTTGTTTGTTTGTTTGTTTAAGACAGAATCTTGCTCTGTCACCCAGGCTGGAGTGCAGTGGTGCAATCTCGGCTTACTGCAGCATCTACCTCCTGGGCTCAAGCAATCCTCCCACCTCAACATCCTGAGTAGCTTGGGACCATGGGTATGCACCACAATGCTCAACTGATTTTTTTTTGTAGCGACGGCTGTCTCCTTATGTTGCCCAGGCTGGTTCCGAACCCCTGAGTTCAAGCCGTCCTCCTGCCTTGGCTTACCAAGGTGCTAGGGCATTTACAAGATACATAAGCAGTAAGGGTACACCTAGCCCAGCAATGGCCCTCGGAAACCAAAAGTGTTCTCCCCACTGGAGGCCACATACAAGATTCCATCTGTATCTTTTTCCTTCTAGTGAAACTCTCCTATAGTTAGGCTGGACTGTTTTTTGTTTGTTTGTTTATTTTTTGAGATGGAGTTCCGCTCTTGTTGCCCAGGCTGGAGTGCAATGGCACAATCTCGGCTCACTGCAACCTCTGCCTCCCAGGTTCAAGCGATTCTCCTGCCTCAGCCTCCCGAGTAGCTGGGATTACAGGCATGCGCCACCACGCCCAGCCAATTTTTTGTATTTTTGGTAGAGACTGGGTTTCTCCATATTGGTCAGGCTGATCTTGAACTCCCAACCTCAGGTGATCCGGCTGCCTCAGCCTCCCAAAGTGCTGGGATTACAGGCATGAGCCACCGTGTCCCGCCAGGCTGGACTGTTTTATCTACAAACAGAAGATGCCTTTTCAGAAGGAAGATGGATCCTTTTCCTGATGATCCACATGAACTGAGCCACAGATGGAACTGAATGGCTGTCAGATGGAACCAAGTTCTTCTGTTTGTCAGTGTCAACAAACTGAGAGCCTGAGACCTTTTTCTTCCACAATCACCGGAACCCAGTCAGGTTGTTTCACTCTGATCTTCAGGAACCGCATGCATCTGTTTTCTAGCAAGTGGTTCTTCTTGAACATCCATGTCAGGGTGGTGGCAGGGAGGGGACATAGCTGGCTCTAGAAACCACAGAGCTCAGCGCAACCACCATGAGAACAATGGCAGTGGCAACAACACACAGGCCTGTTCTTTACTCTTAAGGGAATGTCCTGACCACAGGATGTGCAGAAACTTTACGGAGGTAGCAAGTACCTAATTTTTTTTTACGGTTTATCTCGCTCTAGAGTGCATGTGCTTTACCAGCATTTCCAGCATGTTAGTAGTCTCTTACTTACCCTGGCCTCATCAGCATGATGTCATCATTGTAATGAATGAACCAACATGATATTCTGCAGTTTGTCCAGATGGTCCCAATGCCTTCAGGCTATATTATGACAGATGGTCAAAAGTTAACATGGCCGGGCGCGGTGGCTCACGCCTGTAATCCCAGCACTTTGGGAGGCCGAGGCAGGCGGATCACAAGGTCAGGAGATCGAGACCATGGTGAAACCCCGTCTCTACTAAAAATAGAAAAAATTAGCCGGGCGCAATGGCGGGCGCCTGTAGTCCCAGCTACTCGGGAGGCTGAGGCAGGAGAATGGCGTGAACCCGGGAGGCGGAGCTTGCAGTGAGCTGAGATTGCGCCACTGCACTCCAGCCTGGGCGACAGAGCGAGACTCCGTCTCAAAAAAAAAAAAAAAAAAAAAAAAAAAAAAGTTAACATGGCCCTGGAGCACATTGTTGCTGATCTTCTTTCCTAACTGATAGAAAAGAACACATTTGCCGAATCAGTGGCTGCATACTGTGTACCAGCAATTGTATTATCTGTTTTAGCAAAGATACCACATCTAGCCTAGCAGCTGTGATCAGGTCTATTTCTTGGTTGAACATTAGTCTCCAGGATCTGTCTGGGTTTTGCAAGGACCAGACCAGCAAATTAAACAGAGGTAGGACAGGGACCAGCATGCCTGCATCTTTAAGAATGGCCCTAATTTCTGCCATCCCTCTCCAGGATTATACTGGTTTGGATTCACTATCTTGGTGGGAGGGAGGCAGTTTGGGAGGCTTCTACCAGAACTTCCCCACTGTAATAGCCCCCACCAACAGGTACAGCCTGTGGGTTACTCTGCCACAGTGTCAATCCCAATGAGATATTTGGGGACCAGGGAAATATTCACCATGTGATTTCATAGACCACTGGACTCACTCTTGGGCCAGGGCTTCACTTACTGGCCCCTGTAGGCCCCCACTCTTAACACAGCCCATGATGATGTTTCTAGTCATTGGGTATCTGTGTCAACTTGGACCCTGTCTCCAGAAGTCCTTGGAATGTTGGAGTAAATCCCTCACTCCAGTGAGCAGTCACTCACGTCTTCCACAGAAGAACTGGAGAAATCACTATGTATTGCAGGGTTCTTGGTACTGGGATCTGGCCATGTCTTAAAGCAATGGACACTAGATCTGAAAACTGATTTAGGTGCAGAAACTGGGCAAGATAGATCCTTTTGGGTAACTGCCCTCAGCCTCCTGCTCATCTACTCTTGCTCTGTTTTGATCAGTACATTAAGCCGTGCCTGTTGGCTGCCCAGCTATTCTGCTCCTAGGGATGTTGTTTTCCATTAACCATAACCGTGGACATTGTGACCCTCTGAATTTTGATGGTGAAATGGTAACACCTGGCCTCTATTGCAGGTCTTTTCATCGTCGTTGCTATTTGTGAGCCAAATTATATGACTGCTTCACTGACCATTAACCCTGGCCTGTGGAGGAGAGCCACACTGAACTCATCACCATGCTGGGGCCCCTCCCACCGTCACATTACTAGTGCTTTTGGTAAATATGTGTCCTTTGAGCTTTCCTGGAGAACATTACTCCTTATTTTGCCCCGTGTAATTTATCCATTCCAGCATTCCCACTTCCTGAGCCTTTTACTCCCTTTCTCTTCCCTATTCCATGGGAAGCATTTTAATAGTCTCTGTGAGGGCCATTGCTTTTTTCAGGCTTCTAGGAGTACCCTGGTAGCAAGTTTCATTATCCCCTAGATGCAACCTCACTCCTTGCAGTTTGGTAGCAAATACTTTCTTGAAGGGGGATTTGAGCAGTTCATGTCCTGATCTGCTATGAGTATGCTTTTTGGTATTTTACATTATGTCAATTATGGTCAGTTATCCTTGTTTTCAACTCCCGAGTGGCTAGAGAGGAAAAGGAAAGAAATGATTTGAGGAAAGTTGGGAAGCTCTGCACAGTGATGCCTGAGAGACCTGGCACCACTTTGGGAGACATGGTAGTTAACTCTGCACATGTTCTTCCTCAGCAAGGGGGGTTTTCCCAGAAGGGACACAAGAGGAAATCGTACTCAGTGGAGTAAATGGAAAGAAGAGGGAGCGTGTCTGCCTGGCTCCTTCCTCTCTGCTTTCCTCAGAGTCAGGTTTCACCCCACAGGGAGTTCACACTTCCATGTTGCCTCATCCAGCCTTTCAGGAAGCCAGAGTCTGTGGTCCAGTGTGGCATTTCAGCCAACCTAGAAATGGAGGGTGACTTAGCACAGAGAGGTTCAACAAAGTGGGGCATGCAGGCCACTGACCTCTGCAAGGGCAGCAGTGCTGGGGTGCTCTGGAATACAGGCAGTGCCTTCGGAAAATAGGGCAATTGAAGACAGTTGAGAAAGTGAACAAAGTTTACATCTAACAAATTTTAAAGTTTTATTATTTTTATTTTTGTATTCTTGGGTCTCACTATTTTGCCCAGGCTGGAGTGCAGCAGCTATTTGCAGGTTGGATCCCACTACTGATCAGCACTGGAGTTTTATTTTATTTAATTAACTTATTTATTTTGAGACAGAGTCTCGCTCTATTGCTCAGGCTGGAGTGCAGTGGTGCAGTCTCGGCTCACTGCATTCACGCCCTCCCAGGCTCAATCGATTCTGCCACCTTAGTCTCTGGAGTAGCTGAGACTACCTGTAGGTGCGTGCCACCATACCCAGCTAATATTTTATTTTTTGTAGATACGAGTTATCCTATGTTGCCCAGTCTAGTCTCCAACTCCTGGGCTCAAGCGATCCTCCCACCTCAGCCTCCCTAAGTGCTGGGATTATTGGTGTGAGTCACTGTGCCCAGCCAACCTGGACTATTCTAAAGTTTAACAGTGCCTGAGAGCATTATGCTTAATTAAAGACTAGCTGGGTGTGGTGGTTTACGCCTGTAATCCCAGCACTATGGGAGGCCGAGGTGGGCGGATCCCTTGAGTCCAGGAGTTCAAGTCCAACCTGGGCAGCACAAAGAAACCTCCATCTCTACCAAAAATACAAAAATTAGCCAGGCATTATGGTGTATACCTGTAGTCCCAGCTGCTTGGGAGGATGAGGCAGGAGGATTGCTGGAGCCCGGGAGGTGAAGGTTGCAAAAAAATAATGACTTTTAGTGTTATAACAGATGCAACGCATGTTCACTGTAGACCAATTTAAAACTATAGATAAACCAAAGCAACAAACTTTTTCTTTTTCTTTTTTTCTTTTTCTCTTTTAAGAGACGGAGTCTCGCTCTGTCGCCCAGGCTGGAGTGCAGTGGTGCAATCACGGCTCGCTGCAACCTCTGCCTCCCAGGTTCTAGCAGTTCCTGCCTCAGCCTCCTGAGTAGCTGGGACTACAAGTGCACACCGCCGTGCCCATCTAATTTTTTGTATTTTAGTAGAGATGGGGTTTCACTGTGTTACCCAGTCTGGTCTCAAACTCCTAAGCTCAGGCAATCCACCCGCCTCACCTCCCAAAGCGCTAGGATTATAGGTGTGAGCCACACACCCGGCCAAGAAACTTTAAATACTACCTAGAGACAACCACTTTTAAAACTTTAGTGTATGTCTTTTTATACCATTTTCTGGGCTTCTAGGCTCATTTGCAAAAATGAGATACCACTGTAAATCCTTAGTCTGTAAATTATCTTTTTCAGGAGTCTCTCTGAACCTACTCTTCTGGCTCAGGGAGCTGTCTTATAACATAAATAAGTAAATAAACCATTTTTTTACAATGGTTGTTGAAGATACTAACAAATATTCAGAGGTGGGCACAGTGGCTTATAGCTGTAATCCCAGCACTTCGGGAGGTCAAGGTGGGAGGATTGCTTTCGCCCAGGAGTTTGAGACCAGCTTGGGGAACATAATGAGACCATCTCTAGAAAAAGAAAATTAAATTCACCTTTAGTATTATCTTATTAAAATTCCATTGGGCCAGGCGCGGTGGCTCATGCCTGTAATCCCAGCACTTTGGGAGGCTGAGGAGGGTGGGTCACGAAGTCAGGAGATCGAGACCATCCTGGCTAACATGGTGAAACCCCATCTCTGCTAAAAAAATAAAAAAAATTAGCCGGGCATGGTGGCGGGCACCTGTAGTCCCAGCTACTCGGGAGGCTGAGGCAGGAGAATGGCGTGAACTCAGGAGGCGGAGCTTGCAGTGAGCCATGATTGCGCCACTGCACTCCAGCCTGGGCGACAGAGCGAGGCTCCTCCTTTTTTTTTTTTTTGAGACGGAGTCTCGCTCTGTTGCCCAGGCTGGAGTGCAGTGGTGAGATCTCGGCTCAGTGCAAGCTCCGCCTCCCAGGTGTATGCCGTTCTCCTGCCTCAGCCTCCCGAGTAGCTGGGACTACAGGCACCCGCCACCTCGCCCGGCTAGTTTTTTGTATTTTTTTAGTAGAGACGGGGTTTCACCGCGTTAGCTAGGATGGTCTCTATCTCCTGACCTTGTGATCCACCCGTCTCGGCCTCCCAAAGTGCTGGGATTACAGGCTTGAGCCACCGCTCCTGGCCTACCTCTTTCTTAAAAAAAATAAAAATAATAAAAATAAAATAAAATAAAATAAAATTCCATTGTGTATTTACACAATAATTTACCTTATCAGGCCCTTCAGAAGAACATTTAAGTTGTTATCACTTACATCCTTGCAGCTAAATCTTTGAGCATATCCTAATATCTGCCTGTTTTTAATGACCTATCTAAGGAATCCTTTGAAATCTATACACTTAACCACTGTGTTAGCTAAGAGCCTCCAAAAAGGCTGGGTGTGGTGGCTCGTACCTGTAATCCCAGCACTTTGGGAGTCCGAGGCGGGTGAATCACTTGAGGTCAGGAGTTCAAGACTAGTCGGGCCAACATGGTGAAACCATGCCTCTACAAAAAATACAAAAATTACTGGGCGTGGTGGCTCACTCCTGTAGTCCTGGCTACTCAGGAGGGTGAGGTGTAAGGATGGCTTAAGCCCAGGAGGTGGAGACTGCAATGAGCCAAGATTGTGCCACCGCACTACAACCTGGGCAACAAAGATCCTGTCTCAAAAAAAAAAAAAAAAAAATTGGCCAGGTGCGGTGACTCACGCCTGTAATCCCAGCACTTTGGGAGGCCGAGGCGGGCAGATCACCTGAGGTCAGGAGTTTGAGACCAGCCTCAACATGGAGAAACCCCATCTCTACTAAAAATACAAAATTAGCCAGGCGTAGTGCTGCATGCCTGTAATTCCAGCTACTTGGGAGACTGAGGCAGGAGAATCGCTTGAACCTGGGAGGCAGAGGTTGCGGTGAGCCGAGATTGTGCCATTGCACTCCAGCCTGGGCAACAAGAGTGAAACTCCATCTCAAAAAAAAAAAAAAAAAAAAAAAAAAATTCCTCCGAGAAGCAATTACAAAAATGGGATCAGATGTGCAAGAAATTTTGGGGGGAAATGCCTATGGAGGAAAATGAGAAGGAAGCTGGAGCAACAACAGAGCAAGGATGATCCGGGTCAGACCCATATGAAGGAGAGGGAGAGGAAAGAAAATTTCAGTAAAAAGCATCTTAAGAGTAGAATCCGTCTAAGAAAGTTTTCACTAGGCCAATGGGGAATCCTCAAGGCAGAGTTACCTGACTTTTGAGTCTCACAAAAGCAGGCCTGCCTGTCTCCCTGCCACACTCAGTCATTGGCTGAGAGCAGCCTAGGGGAGTGTGGTGGATTCTGAATGCATCAGTCAGGGCCCTCAGTCTATCATGCTGGGAGATCTGAAAGGAACGTTCTCATGGCTGCCACAAACACCATCTGTGCTTTAAAAAGATTTGGTACTACTCATTCACTGATTCATGACACATTGAGAACACAAATATGAATAGGGATGTGGTGTTTACATTCTAGTAATTCACTTCAGTTTGAGTGGATTATCACAAATCATTTTTTTAGAAATAGACTTTCAGAATCTCCTAAGCAGATTTTTCAGAGTGTGGCTTTATTACGTTGTTTGAAATAATTTTTCAAATTCTAAGCTAAATAATAAATGGAGTTTGAGTTCTTCCTCACTTTGTAGTACTCCTTTCTCTATTCATCTTACCTAATGTCAAAAATCTGAATATAACTTAATAAGGTTTAGAACTGAAAGCACCTTTGCAAAATTATGACAGTAAGAGGAATCTGACATAGTTGACTTCGTCTTGCTTCTGACCTCCAAGCTGTCCTTGGTCATTCTAGTGCATTGGCCAAGCTAACTTTGGGAGAAATTTGTAGTTTAACTTGAAAGCAAGGATGATAAATAGTCTCTCCCTCCCTCCTTGCTCAGGGACTGACAACTGCCTTTGTAAGACTAATGAAAGGCCACAAGAATAGGATTGTGGGAGGGGTCTGAACTCTGATAAAATGTAGATGTAGTTTCTATTAATTTCTTACTGCTCAGAATTAATGTGGCCAGAGGTCACATGATAGGTATAGTCTCTACAGTCTCTTACAGCTCAGGAGTCATGTGGTCAGAGGTCACAAGATTTGTGACTTCCCCAGTTGCTCCTGTAGATAACATCACTATTGTAATACCTAAGATGGGTTTTTTGAGAGATTTTTCAGACTCAGTCCTACCTGGCTAGGTGACTCAACTGGTTCTGTGGCCCCATCCAGAGGCGACTCAGCACAAGGACCATTTTTCAAACCCCTGGGATTTCCATCCCCAACCAATCAGCAGCACCGATTCCCTAGCCCCCTGTCACCAAATCGTCCATAAAAACTCTAACCTGCAAGCCTTTGGGGAGACTGATTTGAGTGATAACCCCAGTTCTCCCATGTGGTTGGTCTCATGTCAATTAAACTCTTGCTCTACTGCAGTGAATTCATTTTATCTGTGCGGTGGGCAAGAAGAACCTGTCTGGCAATTACAGAACCTAGAACAATAACTGCATTTCTAAAAAGTATTTTTGAGAAAAAGAATAATATACACATCCCCATATGCACATTTTGTCTTACTTTTAAATCATTATATCCCTTATATATATCATATTGCAATATATTTATGGTACTTTTTGTTTTTAAGATGGAGTCTCGCTCTGCTGCCCGGGCTGATATGTGGTGGTGCAATCCCAGCTCACTGCAAGCTCTGCCTCCCGGGTTCAAATGGTTCTCCTGCCTCAGTTTCCCAAGTAGCTGGGATTACAGGCGCCCACCACCATGCCCAGCTAGTTTTTGTATTTTTAGTAGATACAGGGTTTCACCATGTTGGTCAGGCTGGTTTTGAACTCCTGACCTCAAGTAATCCGCCCACCTCGCCCTCCGAAAGTGCTGCGATTACAGGCTTGAGTCACGGCACCTGACCAATATATACATACATGGTTTTGAGTTAAAGTTTTATAGCTGCTTTAACAAATTACCACAAACTTAAAGACTTAAAACTCAAACTTTTTAAAGTTCAAGAGGTCAGAAGCCTGAAATGAGCCTTACTGGGCTAAAACTAAGGTGTCTGAAGGGCTGCATTTCTTCTGGAGGCTCTAGAGCAGAATCCATTTCCATG